AAAAAAAAAAAAAAATGTTTCATTTTGAGTTTCAATGAGATAAATCTCGACCGAACAGACGAAAAACGAAAATAATTCTTATATCCAATCACGTAATTTTGAATTAAGTATGACTCCTTCAACTTGTTCACTAACTGTTTTCATATCTAGATCATTCATATAGAAATAACATATGCACATGCAGAGAATCTAATTTAAATTCTTGCATTCATCGTTTATATATTTGAAGTGGCATTGCAATCTCTCATGCAAACCAATCCAAGTACTCAGGGCATGAAATCACCAACTTAAAGTGCACATACTGATAAAGTTTCTTCATTTGATAATACCTCAGATTGACTAAAATAGTCACCAACCATATGCAATTTTGCCTCTGCTGGGGTCCACCCAAATGTCTGAAATAAATCATGTTCATCAAAGGAATTATAAGATAATACCTTAGTGCAATAGAATTAAGATGAAAATATAATGCACGGATGACAAAATTATAACTTCATGAAGATGTATTGGAAATTTGAACAATTTAATTGAAGATATAACAATTCCCTGACAGTTCTGTACAACATTGTTTCAGAATATCTATCCTATGATCTTTAAACTATAGGCATAACATCAAGAAACCATCTACAGCTTGAGTAACCATATCCCAATGATAAAACAACTAAAAACTTAAAAAGAATATTGACAATGTCAAATATAGGATCTTGCTGAAACGTCATGATAAACCTACTTAATTTAACCCTCTAAATAACACACAAATGAGACATGCATATATAGACTTAGTTTGACATCCTTATACATTTTCTCTCAACTTCAGCCAAAACCTCTTAGTACAATAAAAATTTCCTCATAGTGCTGTCGCTCCACAAAATTTGGCAACCTTGGACGATAACAGCATGTTCATTCATAATGTTCTCATTCTAAATTTTGATAAATCTATTACGAGAAGAATGAAGATAACGACACCCGAAGATACAGCACACTTTCAAAATAAAAGCATTAACTCCAAACCTGCCAAGGTCAAAAGCCTAGTGATCTCGTAGATTACAAAACAAACTGGAAGTTACCATGTACACAAGGTGGTGGTGGATTATATATTAGCTTATATTCACTTCAGCATACTGGAAACCAGCATAGTGATGGGTGTTGCTATAAGCTAAATCGTTGTCATATTTGTAGATCCCAAACATAAATATACCACAACAGTCCGTATTCTGATGGACCAAACAACTCATGGCCCATCCACTTTTGCTTCAGCATTAAGGAACTATATCCAAATCCATTGTGTCCTTTTTCAGTGACCATCATTAAATTTGTTGCTCCCTGTTTATTTCTAATGTTTCTGTTCTATTCATGGCCCAACCACTTTTGCTTCACCACAATCAAATCTAAGGGATTTTCTAAATCCATTGCATCCTTATTCTTTTGCCAATGACCACTAAATTCATTGCTCCCTGTTTTTTCAATGTCTTTCTCATCAACTGAGAAACATCACACGAAAAGAATAACCAAAGATGCTCAATCTTTTCATATTCGAATATTCCTTTTTGCTGCATATTATTATATTTATGAATTTAAACTGCACAGAGGGGAAGTATATCAAGTTCATAATATCATTCTCTTTTTTGCACACTTAAACAAGAGTAACAAAAACTGACACAAATATGGTTGCATATGAGAAAGATGAGCAATACTAATTTTCTTTCATATCTAAGACAAGTAATAACTTGATATCAACAGAGAGCCTCAAGAAGGAATATGAACATTAGTGCAAGGTTTGAAAATAGTGAAAACTAGAAAACCGGTTATGCTATCAAACAAATTACCAACCATTTGTGTAACCGAATACTATCATGAAACCATAAGAATCTAGTAAAATTGCAATAACTACAAATTCTGAAAACATTTCAAGGCAACAGGTCATTCTTCAAGAGCTTGAGATGAGAGAGAGAGAGGGAGGGAGGGAGGGAGGGGGAGAGAGAGAGAGAGAGAGAGAGAGAGAGAGAGAGAGAGAGAGAGAGAGAGAGAGAATAGGGTTACCTCACGGGAGATGAAAATATCTGGAAATCCAAAATCCATAAAAGCTTTGTAGGAGTAGTAGCTGCAGATTCACATTAACTAATTATGAGACAGAAGATACAGTTCATTCTAGCAAAATGAGACTGGTTGTGTTCACCTCCTAAAACAGACTACAGAGAACAGAATTTCTCCTTAACAGGATTTTGAGTCGTCCATACTAATTCAAATTGGCATGTTCACCTCCTAAAACAGACTACAGAGAACAGAATTTCTCCTTAACAGGATTTTGAGTCGTCCATACTAATTCAAATTGGCACAAGAGACAACAGTACATCAAAAAAGAGTGTACTGCACCATTGTCAAATGGATTGACTAGTCATTATGTCAACATTTCTAGAAAAGAAAATGAAAGACAATGAAAAGATTCAATTTTTACATTCTTGCAGGTTTATGTATCTATGTATACGTGTATGTATATGTATGTATGTATGTATTTGGTCCAGAGCTAAATCCATCACTAGCACACTGATTTTGATTTAGACATACTTCCCAAAAATGAGAAAAAAAAAAATAAAAAGAGGAGATATATTCTAGGGAAATATAATTCATATGAAGACATTTGCACCCTAGCCAAATTGCTGGGCTTCAACAAATTTATTTTGAACCAAGCAAGACATTAGCAACTACCTGTCAGATGTCACAAGAACAACAGGGAGACATCTCTCATTTGCACCCAAAGCTATTATTCTCCAAATCAGACTATCATGGTACATGGATCCACATATTTTTCTATCATCCTCTGAAACAGCATTCTTCAAAAGCTCAATGTTGTTTATCACGAGCTTCGGCTACTTATTTTATCACACCCAGAAGAAAGAAAAGAAGAGATGAATGAAATACTTAAGATTATTAAATCCCAGCATAATCTAAAAAAATGGACATTGCATAAGCATTTCATTTATTATAATGCAAGTATGCAACCGAGCTATTGATCTTGCCTCCACTAGCTAAATTAAACATGTTTCTGAATCTATAAAGACAAAGATAAATATGCGCACATTTAACATTACAGATAGCAACTACTTGGGAAAACAAAAACCAATATCCAAAAAAAAAAAAAAAAGACTACAGAAAACATTGGATTCAGTACTTAATGCAAAACTATCGTGTTGATAATATGAATTAGATACAAAATGAACAGATTTTTCCCCTCCTTTCAGACTAATAAAACTACTACATTAACAGCAAAGACAGATTTCACAGTACGCCAAACAATATATATCATAAATAAATATAAAGAGCTAATTACCTGGAAATAGTCCATTTCAGCTACCAAAGACAATATTTCAAGCAACAAACAAGGCCAATCAGTGGCCGAATTTGCCAGGGACCTTGAGAATCCACCCTTACTGTTCAAATCTCGAACTGCATTCTCTCTCCACTTCCCTTGAACTCTAATCACTTCTTTAGCCAATTTTAGAGCCGCCATGGCCTCCTTGTGATGCGATCCCTCCTCCACAGTAATTCTCTTATCTAAAACCCCATCTAACTCTTGTTCACTCAGTCCAGCACAAAACCTAAAAACAGCAGTCTCCCACAGATTTGATGTGGAAAACCTGTTCTTCTTTGCCGTTAAATGCATTTTTGAACCCGAGTCAACATTCAATATTTTGTTAAGTGCAGTAGTCGGACTGTGCCATTTGGTGAGAGTGGTGAATATTTGGTGCGAGCTAATGGTCCCAAGCTTGATGGCCCTTTTAGTCATGGCCTCAAGGCAGCTTTCAAGCTGAGCCTCAAGAGTAACAAGTTTAGGTGATGGACACATTGTCCATGATGTCCATGGATATGAATGACCATGCTTTGGATGATAATCCTCTATCGACTCAGCAAAGTCAACATAACCGGTGATGTGTGGGCCGGTGTTCCATTTCTCAAACAGACCTGTAAAAGTGAAAAAGATAAATAAATACAATTATTAGATCAACATTAAACGGACAGGCATTTACCAAAATCAGGGATGTCATATTTCGAATCGATCATTTCCGCAAAACCAACAAGGCAAATCCGGAATTGGGCACTCCAGAAAAACGGAACAACCAAACAGAACAGTATTGGAAATTATGCTATAGTATATGCATTGAATAATCAGAGCATGAAGTATACCAATGCCCTGACCCACTATATCGCCATCGAATACATGTTTGGAATGAGCAATTAACTATCTATGTAACTAAAATCAGCTCCATAAAGAATTTACCCAATCAGATTTGCGTAAACGGCTAAGTAAAGTTAGTTTGCTACAATAAATCTTCAATGGCCATTCACAAAAATCCATGAAGTTAACAAAGTTCGTTTAGACTCAGCTATTTTATGTTGGCTGCGAACATTCATCCCAGAATTTGTATATGCCCAATCATAACAGAGAACATTGTTCTTTAAATGGATATAGAAATACACTCTTAACTCCATTATCTAACATCTTTCAGCGTGCCCTCTTTCACAAATTCCAGATAACAAGAAATATTAGCTTTTCAAACCAATATTATTCTATACATTACACATAAAATGTAAACCCACAAAGTGGAGGGAAGCACAATCAATTACATAAGCAAACATTCTCACACACATAAAAACAAAGTGTCCGTGTGTGTGTGTGTGTGTGTGTGTGTGTTTGTAGAGAGAGAGAGAGAGAGAGAGAGATGAGATTAAATGCTAAATTACGTTCGAGGATAAGGGTGGTTTTGCCGACGCCGCGGGGGCCGTGGAGGATGAGAGGTTGAGGCACGCGGTGGTGCTGAGCGTGGTTGTTGAGGACTGTTTCCATTAGAGGCCTTGGAATGATCCGCCATGCCTTGCCCTTCACAAATTCATATGATTCAACTCTGAGAAAACCAACGAAAAAAAAAAAAAACGTAGCTAATGAAAAATGGAAGTGTAAATGTTGCCACTCTAGCTCATGAGCATTGAACTTACAGCCATGGATGGAGGCAAGCAAGATAGATTATCAAGGGTTAATAACTCTGCAAGTCACTTCTTCTACTCTGTCTCTCTACTTGTCTCTCGAACGCTCACAGACACAAATGACGGCTAACTTCATCTACAGCTCTCGCTTGTTCTTGGCTTGAGACTAAGAGATATTCATTATTGCCAATTGTGGAATTATTTCATTTTTGTTCTCTTAATTTCATTAACATAGTTAAATAAAAAATAATTATTATTATTATTGTTATAAAATTTTAGAATTTTCATCATATTATCCATCATTATCAGTTACCAATTTTTAGAAGTATTTTTTAATTATCCATCAGTAATATTTAAAATAACCGTATTTTAACAATTTTAATTATTCATTATTATATTATAAAAGTCACCACATCTAAATAAAATAAAAGAATAATTTTTTTAAAACTTTCATTATGTACTTTTCTAAAATTAATAAGACTTTATGTATAGTATAATTATTACGTTCCAATGAAATATTTATGAACCTTACATCATAATCAATATCAATAAAATTAAGTTAGGTTTAAGATTTTTGGACCTACAACTATTCAATCAAGATCTTAATTCAAAACAATTGTGGAGGCTTCTCACAAATCCAAACTATATATAGCCAGTAAGATCCTAAAAGCAAGATATTTCCCAAAACTAACTTTTTCACTGTTAAAAAATCAAAGTCAAAGACAAAAAGGTTTAGGATTTCTGGACATGCAGCTCCTTAATCAAGCTCTTATTTCGAAACAACTGTGGAGGCTTTTCACAA